TCCTGGCAACACTTGCCCCTGAGCTGACACGCCTCGCTAGTGCGTTCAGAGCAATAGGAGGAGAAGGGAAGCGGTTCTGTGGCCCACCATCTACAGCTTTACTGTAAAACCTTGTCTTCTTAGAGAACTTGGTCATCTGTTTTTTAAAGAATCATAATCATTTGTATTTATACTTAAAAAACACACAATGTTTAAAAAAAAAAAAAAAAAGCACTTTATCCAATTAGGCCAAGATTTAACATTGTTGACAGTCCTGTAGCTATTTTATCATAATTTATTATCAATATTTTACATGAATGGTTTCACAGTTGCCAATTACTTGGCGTTAAGGGTAAAAAAGTACAATGGATGCTAAACCTCATTGGTTAAAGCAGATGCAAAGACTCACCTACATTGAACTTCTCCCGTGTTTCCATCGCAGACTTTGCTTGTCTCTCTTTCATATCGCTAACGGAGCTGAAATACAGGAGCCATTGGGCTCTCTCTGTTAATGATGGTTGTGCTTAAGACTCTTAACTCGTCACGTTGTGTTGCGATCTCTTACGTTATAATTAGATCAGAGACTGGTGGCATCTTTTCTCTCTCTGAAAGCACCAGTGCCCAGAGTCTGCTTGGTAATTAAATCATGGATCCACACTGTTCTGGGAGATGAAGGTACTTGCTGCTGATGGAGGTGAACATGAGATCCATCTGGGTTTTCCAATGTGTGCTGGGTGCTGCACAGACTTGTCAAGGTTTGCTACGTCCTCTGGGCATTGACCAAGGCCCTGCTCTCTGGAGTGTTGTATATAGTGTAGCAAAAGAGTATTTATACATCTCACCAATCAAAACACAGCTTTATTACCTCATGCGAACTCATACAAACCAATAGAATTTCAACATGTTCTGTAGCTTAGAGTGCTCACTTACTACCTCTGAACAATACTCACGCTGTAGTTTGTCTCTTTCTTATCTTTTTGCATCTTGTAATTAACTCTTTGTTTCCCTTCATAAAATGTAATGTACATTGTAATCTTTTAAAAGAAAAATCAGGGTTGCATTTGCAACTTTTAAAAAACCGAGAGTGGAAACATTGGGTCTTTAACACAGAATCAGTAAAACTGTTGTAAATACTGAGAAACATTTTGAATGTTCTTCATCTTGTTACTAATTCATGCAAAAAAAGAAAAAAGGAAAAAAAAAAGCGGCGACTAATTGTGATGCATTTGGGTTTCAGTATTCAGTACTGTATATTTCACCCTGTGTGATGGGGCCCCTCCTTTCTCTCTTTTTGTATTGTATGCGATTCTGAAACTGATTGAGTCATGAAAATAATTTGTGGCGGTGATTCTAATGTATTAAAAGCGTTTCGTGTTCCTTTCTAACTGGATTACACCCTGGATTGAAAAAGTCTTCCTCGTGGTAGTTATATGTAGTTTCAAACATGAATAAACTTTTTGCTTTCATGATTAAATGTTGATGCTATTTCTTACTCCACTGCGTGAACCAGCCAAGACAGGTCCAGGGGAGAACCTGCCCGAGGCAGGCCGGGGTGCAGGAGGTATGTGGCCTGTGGGAGGGGGACTCTGAGGTGACATGGTGCTGGTAGGACGGAACAGCCCCACCAGCTGACAGCTCTGTGTGCAGGCTCCTGGCTAGTTGCCAACTGCTGTTCCCTGTCCTCCTGAACCTTGGAATACTTCAAGGAATACTTCCATTTTCATAGATTAGGAAACTAACGCTCATAGAGGCTAACACCTCTGACAGCAAGGGGCCATGTTTGAACCTGGGTGCCTACCCTTGGAGCTCACACTTTCCATCCTGACCTAATGATGCAGTTGGCACTTGCTAAAGGAAAAAAACTTAGTTGTAACTATTTAAAAATAACCAGTCTTGTCATGCTCAATTCTTCATTTTCATAACTTCTGTGAGATATCCACTAAAAACAAGCAAAAATTGGGGGGAGAGAGAAACATTTAATTGTTGTCAATTGGTTGGTTGAACCTGCAACCTTGACGTATCCAGATGATGCTTTAACCCCGTGGTCAGCGAACTACAGCTCGAGAGCCACATGTGGCTCTTTGGCCCCTTGAGTGTGGCTCTTCCACAAAATACCACGGCCTGGGCAAATCTATTTTGAAGAAGTAGCGTTAGAAGAAGTTTAAGTTTTAAAAATTTGGCTCTCAAAAGAAATTTCAATCGTACTGTTGATATTAGGCTCTGTTGACTAATGAGTTTGCTGACCACTGCTCTAACCAGTTGAACTATCCAGCTAGGGCCTTATCATAGTGTTTAAAAAAAACCCTCTAAACTTGTAAATGTAAGACCAACTAGAAATCCTTTAACTAGATTAAACACTGTTTTTGTTTTATTCAAATGGTTAGAAATTCCACATATGCACATCCACATCTGTCGCTGATACCTAAATCTTTATAACAAAAGAAGTTAATAGCAGGTAATTGGCCTGTTTACTATATATCTCAAGGAAATTGACTCACAGGAAATCAAATTAATGTTAATCAGTTGCAGCAAATTGTCTATGATAAATACAACTGTTTTACTGTTTCAGTTGGTGGAACCAGGCAAAACAAGGTCTAGGGCCACCATTCCCATTAATCTTGAGCCAGTTATGCTGTGAGAGTCAACTTTGTAAAATGGATGGCCCTCTAAAGCTGTCCTCCCTCGCGGGCTCTGCCTGCCTGCAGGAACCTCTCCCATAGCTAAGGAGTTATTTGCATGATTCAATTAGCATATGGGTCAGCCTTTCTTATCTTTTACATAAAGCCGCCTCCTCTATGCTGTGTGGCCTTGCAAAAATACCCTGTGGGCACCGGACCTGCACGCACACACAAATACATCTTTAATGTCCAGAAACGCTTCCTAAGGACCGTCTCAGGGTTGACCTCTGGTCAGTTGAGAGAAGCATATACCCGTGTTTGTTGGAGATTTACACCTTGACCAGCAACCCTTGAGGGGTGAGAGGCGAAGGCTTTGTCCCGGGTCTGAAGAAGAACGGGGGCGTATGTGTTCCCTTGCTGGAGGAGTTGGGGGGAGGGCAGAAGCACCCTCACTTCATCCATGAGGGCACTGGGGCACAGCATGAGCCCCAGTTTTTTTGTTTTAAATATATTGATTTTTTACAGAGAGGAAGAGAGAGGGATAGAGTTAGAAACATCGATGAGAGAGAAACATCAATCAGCTGCCTCCTACACACCCCCTACTGGGGATGTGCCCACAACCAAGGTACATGCCCTTGACCGGAATCGAACCTGGACCCCTCACTCCGCAGGCTGACGCTCTATCCATGGAGCCAAACCAGTCTGGGCGAGCCCCCCTCTCCCCCCTCCGTTCTTAAGCCTCACTCCAAATTGGATGAAATGGGTTGATTTGATAGGTTTTCACCAGGCACCTTTTCTGGCTCAAGCAGTGAGTGAGACCCAGAGATGAATGAAACCAGGCTGCAGCCCTTGTTCAGAAAGCAAATGCTTGGTGAGGGTAGTGGAAAAGGCCTGGTGGGTTGCTGGACCCCTAGACAAGAAGGGAGGACTCAGCGCTCATTCTCAAGGTCAAAGAAAACAGCAGTAGGACCACCTGAGACGCCCAACCACAGGCTAAGGGACCTGTCCACACGGACGCACAGGGCACAGGTGTGCTCAGGGGAAGACATGCGGTCTGGTGACAGCGTCGGAGCCCAGGAGCCCGAGCAGCTCCACGGTGGGCAGGTGCCAGCCTTCCACACGGAGGTAGGTACACGAGCAGGGTGGGCACCTCTGCAGTGGACCAGGTGGCCAGGTCAGACCAGGCTGAACCTCTCTGTGGCCCTGAACTGAACGGAGCAGCTGCCTCCTATCAGTCCCGTGAGTGGGGGTGGGAGGGGCCGTGTCCTAGAGCAGCCAGTTCCCGTGCGGGGAGTGACGTGGGGATGTCTCCCAGGTGGGATCGTGTTTCAGGTGTCTCATGCGTGTTGTGCCGTGAGAAGTTGATATTGAGCATCTCTGGATCAGACGTTGGCCAGGCCCTTTCTGTACATTCCCGTATCTGATGCCGGCGGCGCCCCTGGGACAGGTGATATTGTTAGCCCGTTTCCAGATGGGAGCTCGGAGGCTCAGAGTTGGCACTGCCGGTCTGTAACCTCCCCCAGCCGGGTTTGCCCTGTGAAGGCCCCACTCTCAGTGGCGTGGAGAGAGGCGTCTGTGGACTGGAGCCATCCGGTCTCCAGTGTGAGGCCCCTGCTGGCGCGAGGTGGCCACCTCTCGGCGCTCGCCTCTCTCCTGCCTCTGCCTCTGATGCCTGGGCCACCAGAGTGTGTGTCCTGTGGTGTGTACAGGGCGCAAACCTGTGCCACAGATGAAGTGGCTCTGTCTGTGGATCACAAGGTTGGGGATGGGAGACAGGCAGAGCCACGCACCCGGGCTGGGCCTGGCGCCATAGCCTTGACAGACCTGGGCGGTGACCATCACGATGCATGAGCAGAGCTGAGTACGGCCTGGGCATGCTCCCCACGCATGCACGCACTTTATTTTGGGTAGAGTTCTGCCTGTGCCCCTGTGGCTGCCTTTCTGCGTCCCAGGTTCTGTCCAGCTCTGGCTCCTTAGCCCACTGCCCACACAACCCACTCTGGGTGCGAGCAGCTCTCACATCCAGGCATGGATGTGGATCCCAGCCCTGCCTCCTCCCTGTGTGACCGAGGGGAGGGATTTAACTTCTCTGAGCCTGTCTCCTCACTTCTTCTCGGAACGTCCTCTGTGTACCCACCTTCCTGGCGAGCGGCTGTCCTCCAAGGCCGAGCCCAGACCACTGTGCCCTCCAACGGAGTCAGGCCCTGCCTTTACCTCTGGTACAGTGAAAACCAGACTATAGACATCCACTCAGAGACCTAAAGGATGGGGAGGAAGAGGAGAAGGAGGAGGAGGACTGAGGTGGGTAGGGCCCGGGCACAGGGAAGGGTGGCCTGGACAAGGGAAGGGCATGTGCAAACCCCAGAGGGCATGGCGAGCAGAAGGCAGAGCTGTGGGTCCCCG